TGAAGAGAATGATACATTTTGGGTCACAGGAATTTAATTCATACTGCCTTGAAGGAGTTATGTTCCATCATTTGCAATGGAGCCAAAGATTCATTATTTTTTGGCTTGAGAATATGATGGAATAAAGCAAAATGACTCACCAAACTGTCTGCTCTTCTTTGTTATGAAGCAGCAGTCAGTCCATGTAATTTTGGAAGCGATTTTCATTATAGGTCATTCGGAAACAGTCTCTCTGTGCTTTAGTACAGGGGTAAGACTACGTACATCCGACCCCCCTTACCCCACCGTAGGTGGGAGCCTTTGCGGCACTGGGGTAAATGATGATTGATGATTGATTGCCTTGAAGGAGATGCCTTAAAGGAGTCCAGTTTCATATTTTTCTACTAAATTCTCATGGAATGTAAAGTGCAAAAATAACAACATCCAAGCCTTAGTCCCAAAAGACTTTGTGATCGGCTAACATGAAAAAAGATAAAAAAGAAACCAAGGCTAAGGTATGATAAAAAAGATAATATAAAATAGAGATAAGATATGCATAAAATTATTAAGATAAACGTGATAAAATGAATATATATATATATATATATATTCATTTTATATATATATATAGAGTAATCTTCCGGTCAGGAATTTCCTGACCGGATCGCCGTCCGGCCTCCTCCTTTTGGGGGCCTTCCCGGTGGTTTTTTTTGCTCAAATTTTTTGTGTATGTTCCTCATCAAGTCTAGTTCATTCATACCAAATTTCAGCAAAAATTTCAATCGGGAAGGGCGTCAAATGATTTTTGCAAGTTAACTGGTCCGGAAAATACATATTCCGGACCAGTTAACTTGCAAAAATCATTTGACGCCCTTCCCGATTGAAATTTTTGCTGAAATTTGGTATGGATGAACTAGACTTGATGAGGAACATACACAAAAAAATTGAGCAAAAAATACCACCGGGAAGGCCCCCAAATGGAGGAGGCCGGACGGGGCTGCTGTCCGGAATTTCCGGACAGGAATAATCCTATATATATATATTTATTTATCGGGAGAATTCAAATAAAAAGGAGTCTTAACGTGTAAAATGAGAATTAATCTGAGTCGTCCAATTTTTCAATCTGATGCACAATAGTCCTTATCTAATGCACTATGCATCAGATAAGGTTTGATGAACAGTGCCTGAGATAAGGACTATTGTGCATCAGATTGAAAAATTGGACGGCTCAGATTAATTCTCATTTTACTCGTTAAGCTCCAGTGCCGTAAAAGCTCCCACCTACTGTGGGGTAAGAGGGGGTCAGACTAAAAATCGCATTTTAGTCTTACCTCTGTACTAAAGCACAGGGAGACTGTTTGCGGGTGACCCATAGTGAAAATCGCGTCGAAAATTGCATGGACTGACTGCTTCATAACTATGAAGCGCAAACAATTTAGTGAGCCATTTTGCTTTATTCCATCATATTCCCAAGCCAAAAAATAGTGAGTCTTTGGCTCCATTGGAAATGATGGAAAATATATATATATATATATATATATATATATATATATATATATATATAAAGATAAAAGGATAAAAAATATAAGAAAGAAAAAGAAGATAAAGGGAAAAAAAGATGCAAGAGATTAATCCGCCACGCGGAATAAATAAAAAAAATATAATTAGGATGTCCAATTTACAGTAGTTGTATACCAAAACTAAAAGCTTGTCCCTTGCTTCATGTTTTTACTCTTTTAGGCTTTTATAATCTCATTTTCTACTAAAAATGAATATCATACATTTATTGCGTAACCAATTACTTTGACTTGGTGATAGGTATGGATTTAGCAAAGAAATTGTGGAATGTCCTGGTACGGTTGCTATGAAATTTCTCACGGGAGCTGTCTTATTTTTATTTTTGCTCTGTATTTTCTTGTCTAGTTTCCCTTACCTCTTCTTTGGTTGAAATAAGGTGGTAAAATGTAAATGGAAGAGTTCAATAAGATGTTAGGTTTGATTCAATAGAAGAGTATGGTTGAATTATTATTTTCAAAAATATATCTAAATAAAAGTGAAGTACATTTGGTACAACTTTTATCTTAATAATTTTTATAGTAATCAATATGCATAACAAAAATTCTGTAGAACAGATTTTGATGAAAAAGATTAAATGAAATTCACAAAAAGATCATTCCTCCAATATACCCCAATTTGGAGGAGTAAGCTCAAGTGCTCAAGTGAGTTAGAGGAGCTCATAGATCCTCCACTTTCCTCACCCCCTTCTTGAATCCCTCCCCTCTCATCCAAAGTCCTCCAACCAAGCAAGGGCTGATTCAAAACTTGAGCTTTTAGAGTTGTGTACTTCTGTTGTTGTTTTTACATAGCAGCTTACTGGCCATCAAGAGTCCGGGTTTGTGGTTTTTGGTTTCTTCCCATTGATCGCCTATTCTCATGTAACAAATGTTTGGAAGGATCTGCATTGGCTTCTACAGAGTTAAAAGCAAAAAATGGGTTGTGTCTTGCTCACACCAGATTGCAATACTTCTTGAGTACTTCTGAACAACACCCGCCACCAATTTTCATAAGTCTCAGTTCTGTTGGAAGGTATCTACTTTTGACTTTCAAGGGCATTGTGAACCATTTTATTTTAGTCATGTTGGTACTAGTAAAATCATCTCTAAAGGTCTCTTTGGGACTCAAAAGAAGCTACGGAAGGAGATAAAAATCAAGAGACAAGAAATCATTGTGAAAACTTAGGCTAGATCCGAACTCTGTAAATTTATTTTAAATATATCTTCTATCACATTTTTATCTATTTAGTTATTTCCCTTCATATTTTCCAACTTAAAACTAAACATAATAAAGTAATTTTCTTGGCAATTTCATCATTTCCTCAACATTTTTTCTTAGATCTGAACATACCCTAAGTGTTTCCCATTGGGAAAGTTGGTCCATCTTTTAGCTTATTAATATGTATGTACTTCAATACGTTGTTGATTTTATTCTTGAATCTTTTTTTATATTTCTGATAGAGAGTAGGAGTTCGGCTTGGAGGAAGAGAGGCCGAGGCCCCTGTGGGTTTACCGAAGGCGGGCACAGGCTTTGAGGCCACCTTCGTGGGCTGGCTGCGGGCCTTTTAATTAATTTTATTCATTTATAATTTTCTTGATTTGTTTCCTATTTGGAGTTAATTAGGAATTATATTATTTTGTTTCCTATTTGGAGTTAATTAGGAATTCTATTATTTTGTTTCCTATTTGGAGTTAATTAGGATTTCCATTTTTTTGTTTCCTACTTGTTTCCTAGTTTGGAATTAGTGGATGAGTATTTAAACCCCTATTTAGGGTTCACTCATATATATATGGAATTTGAGTGTGAAAGAGTTTCTTATTTGATGGAATTTGAACAATTTGGACAATTGAGGGGTGACATTTACAATCTCCGAAATACGGGTCTAACATTTCAATATGGTGACTATTTGAGGGACTAAAAGTGCGATTTTCCCAAAACTAGTTTCCTTGTATTTTCCTTCACCAGCATTCTCAATAAGCCCTAATGCTCAATTCTCAGATATATATTTTTACACCTTGAATCCATGCCATTTTCGGTATACCACGGCTTCTCTTTGAGCCCCCAACACTCCAGTCTGAATTTCACCCTATAATCTGAAGTGTGTTGTTGACTGTTTTATTATTTTATCATAAGACATCTTAGTCATAGACGGCTGTGCTTCCTTCTCACAGCATGGGCTTTATGACGGACCCTTGGGCATTTCTTCGGGTACTTGGACATGTTTTGGAAATCACAAGTTACAGGTTTATTCTGCTGTCAGCTGGATATAAGCCTTTAAACGACGTAATCCAACTGTGTGCTCAAGAATCATCTTCATGTTCAGAACAAACACCATGCAACAATGATGATGGAGTTTTTCTTTTCAATGGCCGGTTTCTTTCTTTACCAGGGTAAGTTATTTCCACACTGCTGTAAAAAAATTGCTGCCTCCTGCTTGAGACTGGAGAATGATATGTTTTCTGTATGTAGTAGTTCTATATCGTACCAGTGGTTGTTTCCAAGATGTGCTGCTGCAATCCATCACGGGGGAAGGTGAGAGTTGTAGTTCTTTACCCTCCCTTTCTTCTTCCATTTCCTGCATATATGATGTAGAGTATTAGTTTCAAATACTCGATTAGAAAGTTTCCACATTAAGCTCTATGACAATTAGGTTATTCCACTTTTGGTGCAAGACTATGATTTTTTTGCAACTTTTACTCCTTTGCTGTCACGTATCAGGAGAAAATGAAGTCATGGACCAAAAGTGAGAATAAAGTATTAGTAGTAGGACCAAAAGTGGAAAACTTCCTTACATATTTTCATCTCCATGCAATTTTGGCCTCAAATATCGCCCAGTGGGTCCACTGCTGCTGCACTGCAAGCTGGAATTCCTCAGGTTTGTTTTGCTGATCTACATGATCTTATTATTCTAGTATACCATTCTTTTGCTTAAATCACTGATGTTTTTTTGAACAGAGGGGAGGATTCTCTTTAACTAATATATTCTAGGAAAAATTGATAGTAATAATCCCAACTATTGGCGGTCCGCTCATAATAATCTCAACTATTGATTATTCCAGAATAATCCCAACTTTAGGGACCTTCCGCCAATAATGGTCCCTGTGAATAAATTCTTGTAGTTTCTAAAGTGAATGAGATGAGATATAACAAGTAATCCCTATAAATAATCTCAACTTTTAATTTTTACGCTTAATTTCTATTTAAAATTCACTTTTTATAGAGGTAATATCTGGTCATGGACCATTATTGGCGGATAGTCTATATAGTTGGGATTATACAAAAATAATCAATAGTTGGGATTATTTTCAGCGGACCGGCAATAGTTGGGATTATTATTTTCAATTTTTCCTATATTCTATTTGGTGGTGTTAGATTAGAAAATAGCTACATATTTACTTAAGTAATAAAATAACCATATCTTTACTTAAATAATAATACGTAGTATATTTCTATACAATTTTTCATCTTCACTTCTTATCCAACTATCTAATGTAAGAGAAAATTAATGAAATAAATTTCACTTCTCCCCTCCCATTCCCTTCAAAATCCCTCGACCAAAAAAGGTTTAATCAATATTATTACAAAAAGCACTTCAGCAGTAACTAGTCAGGGCTAGGCAGAGATTCTTTACAACAATGAGCATAACAAGAAGTAATGCCAGAATAATGTGTCATTAACTAATGCATGCTTTGTAGGAAATCTTATATCTTTATGAGCTCTGAATAATCTCCGCCCAATGTTCTGCTCAGTTTCTGTCTTTCTGATATAATGAAACTCCATACACTAACTCCGCCCTTCCATCATTCTACTTCTTATAAATGCAGACGCTCATGACTTTCAAATTATAGTTTAGTGTATAGTTCATTATTTAGAGCCCTATTACTGAAAATTACTTGGCTGAATGACTGGATTTGCTGAAATATAAAGCGTTTGATAAAATTCACTTCAGCCAAATAACTAACTCGCTTTTAGTAAGGCCTAAAATGACGGAAGCTGTTAGTAAGGCCTACAATAGCTTAATTAATCAAAAATACATTTCTTGAAGAAAATACTATCTAAAAATGAAGGAAGAAATGTCTTTTTCTTTAATTTCAGCAAAAAGTAACTCCAGCACTGCTTTTTTCCCACTATCATGCATTCATGCCGTCTACGCAGTAAAATATGTTAGAGTTTGGTAAAAAAACTGGCTGATATGGTTGACGAGTAGGATAACCTAACAGAATCCATACGTATAACTCTACCAAATGGACTTTTAAGTTGGTTGCTTTTAATTTATCTCGAATATCAGGTTATTTATGTATTCATTTATCTTGGTAGGTGATATGTCCATTCATGCTGGATCAGTTCTATTGGGCAGATAGGATGTTTTGGCTTGGGGTTAGTGCAGAGCCGCTGAAAAGAGAGCACTTGGTACCGGACACAAATGATAGCTGCGGCAGCAGCACCAAAGAAGGAGCCAAAATGCTTGCGAAGGCCATAAACTTTGCTCTCTCTTCTCAGGTTAAAAAACGGGCATTGCAGCTTGCAATCACTCTGTCTACTGAGGAGGTACTACTTTCCTTTCTCTGATCCACTGTAATGATGTGGAAGCCCCCCCCCCTCCCCCCGTGTTTCACCATTATAAAGAAAGAAGATAAGTGCCGCTTTGTATCCTTTCAATTCATTAGGATGGAGTAGCACAGGCAGTGAAGAACTTGACTGAAGAGCTTGGCGGAGGAGATATGGTAAACTGGTGAAGTGCACTTTCGCGGAAGATAAGCAAAGAGCCATCCCCCCACACTAATGGAAAGTTTTGCAAATTTTTTCTGGAACTGGAAGATCTTTCCGTGATCTTCAACATATCCGGGGTTCAATGTGACCATGTGGTGTATCCATTTATTTCCTCCATATCCCGTCAATTTGGAGAAGTCCCCTGGATGTTTTCACGACGTGTAAGGTACAGTCATTTGCTTTGAAAATCCACTAAGTTTGCAACGTGGTTAAGTTAAAACCTTTGAAGGATTGTACCACTGCCGTAATAATTAGTTATGTGTAAATGTTGTGTGGTGTGATTGTCATGTATGTTTGGTGTCTTGTTTGGACTAGATTCTTACCCGTGTGATGCATGGATCAAAATTAAGCCTCAATTATCTTTTATTATTTGTTAACATTATTAGTGAAAGAATTATATAGTCCGGTGAAAGCTAGTACGAGCAATGTTTTGAAAGTAGAATAAATATAAAGTTGATAAATAATCCTCAATCAATGTCATTGTGTTAAACATTTTATTTTTGAATAACGTAAAAGGTTGCAGAGTTGATAAATATATACTTCTCAATCATAAGCCTTGAAAAGAATTACTAAAATATGATTTTCATTTTCATACATTTTCTTCTTTATTGACTATTGAGAACGTTATAAAATTATATAATTATTATTTATTTAAAAGTAAAATATGACACAAAAGCAGACGATATAATCTTTCTACTTCACTTTTGTATCAATTAACATAAAATACATGATACGTTTATCACACCTTCCCTTGTCCTTCACTGTTATCCATAAGTTTAGAGACTTCTTACTTGTGCATGATTCGGGCCTGGGTCGGACCTAGGCCCGGCGGGCTTTCTGGGTTGGGCCCGGGACCAGCCGGGCCTCGGGTCTCTTTATATTTTTTTTTTGCTTTTTCTAATTAATCCCCGACCCCCCTCCCCTAACCCCCACCCCCAAAACACCCAGCCCAACCCGTTGGAATAAAAAAATGAAAAAACAAAAAAATTAATTTCGGCCCGAACCGGGCCTGGGCCCGGCCGGGTCTCATTTTGAAGGAACCGTGCCCGGAACCGTCTCCCCCTCGGGCCGGGTCAAAGCCCGGTACCCGGACCGGTGAACTGGGCCGGTCCCGGGCCCGCACAGTAGCGGGCCGGGCCGGTTCACAGGCCGGGTGGCCCGACCCGAGTCCACTCCTACACACATCTAGTCCGAGGTAAGCGGTACCATGTCTTGATATACTCGTACTATTGATCAAATAGATTGCCTTATAGCTAGAATTGTTAATTTTATAGCGACAACTCTTTCTCCCATTTCATATAAATATTCAAATTATTTCAATATTTATCCTCACTTCTTCATTGTCCAAAGATATCACTATCCACCCGATCGTTTAATTTTATGCACAAAAGATTCATTTTATGTCAACACAACTGAGTGTAGCCGTCCTGCCCCGTTCGGGGCATGTAATTATCTAGTATGCATTTCTGTTTGCGTGAAATCATTATCACTTGAATTTACATAAGTTTATCTCTAAATAATTAATAAAGCTGAAATACGTTTTTAGTCCCTACAAATATGACACTTTGTTTTTGGTATGACACTTTGTTTTTGGCAGGCCTGGACTCGGGCCGGGTGGCCCGACCCGGAACCGGCCCGAACCGGCACTATTCCGGCCCAGTGGCCCGGTCAGTGACCGGTCCGGGTAGGCCCGACCCGCGTGGGTTCCGGTCCGGGCTCGGGTCCCCCAAATCCTGAACCGGCCCGGCCGGTTCAAGCCCGGTTCCGGGCCTTTTTAATTTTTTTTACTTTTCGGGTTGGGCTGGGTATTTTGGGCCATTTGGGGTGGTTTGGGGGTGGGGGGGTTAACTAGGAAAAGGAAAAAAAATTTAACAAGGACCGAGGCCCGGCCCGACCCGGAACCGGGGATTACTCGGGCCGGTTCCGGGCCCCCCATTCCAGAACCGCCGACCCGACCGGGCCTAGGCCTGGCCCGGGACCGAGCCGGCCCGAGTCCAGGCCTAGTTTTTGGTCTATGCATTTTTTTTTTTGTTTTTCATCCTTGTAATTACACTATTTTGTTTTTAGTCCATCTCTAATTATGAAACCACTATACTTACAATAAAAGTTATTGTGAGTTGCATAAATCTACTAGAAATACTTAAATTTGTCATTTTATAACTTTTTAAGGCTAATATAAGAGTTAAAACAATGTAAAACTAAGTATTCACATTTTAAAAATGTATATTAAATAAAGATTAAAATTAATTACGTTTTGAATGGCATTACAAAGAATTAGAGTAAATCTATTATTCAGAGTTATTTTGGAACAAATCGGAGATTCGGAGGTTGTTATCATCGGTGATGGACTAAAATGAAAACAACACAAATTGGAGGGATGAAAAACAAAACAAAACAAAAAAAGATTTGCAAGGAAGTAAAACAAAATACTATATAGAGGGAAACATATTTAAACCTAATAAAAGAAAATATATTAAATCAAAGTCGAATACGCTAAAAAATTCAAAAATTTAGAAAAATGTACTTAGACTGGTATAGTTAATCTATTATGTTGATAATTGAATATATGTAATGAAATATAAAGAAAGACAGTGACAATTAACCTTTCATCTCATTCAAATTTAAATATTAATATATTTTAAGCAAGCGTGGACTCAGGCCGGGCCGGGCCTAGGCCCGGGCAGGCCGGCGGTTCAGAAATGGTGGACCCGGGACCGGCCCGGGTAGCCACCGGGTCCGGGCCGAGCCTTCGTTTTTTTTTTTTGCTTTCCTAACCCCCCCCCCCCCCCCCTCGCCCCCCCCCCCCCCCCAAAAAAAAATCCCCCAAACCCCTCCTAACCATCAAGCCCAACCCGGGTGGAACCCCAAAAAAATGGGAAAAAAAAATCAATTTGGCCCAGACCCGGGCCAGCCGAGCCGGTTCGCCAGATGTAAGACCCGGCCTCCCGGGCCTAGGCCCGCCCCGGACCCGAGAACCAGGACACTCCCGGTCCCGCACAGTAGCGGGCCGGGTGGCCCAACCCGAATCCACCCCTAATTTTAAGATAAAAAAGTTTATGATTAATTATATACACAGACATTTATGTATATAAGTAGCATAATTTATTATTAATTATATACACATATATTGAGCGGGGTTAGGGAACACAAGTCAATACTAATACCTGCACCTATGGATGGACTCGGTTCGGGCCGGGCCCGGACCGGGCCTCCGGTCCTGGATTGGAGGGCCCGGAACCGGCCCGTGTAACCGCCAGGTCCGGGTCGGGCCGGGCCTCGAGCATATTTTTTTTTTTTTGCCTTTTCCTAATTACCCCCCCTCACACCCAAACCACCTCAAATGGCCCAAAATACCCAGCTCAATCCAAAAACTTAAAAAAAAATCAAAAAAAAAATCAAAATGGCCCGGACCGGGCCCGAATCAGCCGGGCTGGAACAGTGGCGAGCCGGGCCGGGCCACCCGGCCCGAGTCCACCCATACCTGGACCCACTATTGTGTGAAGGGGATAGGAGTATAGGACGGACCTATCCCACTTGCAAGATGGGGCAGGCTGGACCTGCCCCAAATGTCTTGGGTCAGGGCGGATCCTTGCGGGTCAGATGTTTTACATGCCTAGACAAGCATGCAGAAAACAACAAATAAAGGAAAAAACGTAATTTTGGTAACATTAACAATGAAAAAACGTAGTTGTGGTCCTTTCACACTCCACACACTCCATTAACAATCCTTTATGAGCCTTTTAAAATAATTGTATTAGCAAAACTAAGACATTTAAAATACGAAGAAACTAATACCCTCTAGGGTAATTATACTCACTTCTATCAAGATAGATTACCAAACACAATTTCAGCGATTTCAGCATTTTCAAGCCACTACAACCATCATCAAATGACCAAACAGGCCCATAGACTCCATAGTCCTTTTGTGCTATACAAAAATGTAACCACTAAAAAGTACACTATTTTTTGGCTTGTTATCTCCGCGCCAGATGTGCTTTCGTCTATAAACCCCACAAGTAGTGGTTGGTGCAACCATAAAACTGGGTTTATAACTTGTAAGACTACTGTTGTTGAAGCTTCTCTGATACAGAACTGCAACCTTCTTCCTGAACTAAATCCTCCAACGGGTTCTCTTCTGACCACACAGCTGCATCTGCATACCCGAGCTCGAATAGGTTATCTAGGATTTCATCCTCTGCAGGCTCCAATGACCAATTAAAGAGCTGGAATGTTTGAAAAACAAAGCACATCACAATGGCCCAACCTGATAAATGTTGGACTGTTGTTTACAGGGGTCGAGTCTTATATATTTACATATATATAGGGTTTAACTCCGGTAAGAATACCCCTTCCCGTGAGAAATAAGAACGCTCCAAAACAATGTACATTATGATTCATAGATGTGCACATGTGTAGTTAGAATAATGCACAGTTCAAATGTGCAAATTTATGGTTAAAATAATGCACAGTTCAATGTACATTGTCTAATTTATCATAGTGAATATTTTTGTTTCACATAATGCACGGTACTCAAATCCAACACACCAAAATTATTCTCATTTCTCACCTCAGATCATAGTTTCATTTGAACCAAATTCTATACATACATATGTATACAATGTTCTAAAAGACGCTAGTCGGGCACCGGCCAGTGCCTAGGCGGACGCCTAAGCGGGGACAAGTCAGACCTAGAATTATATTTTTCAATATTTTACATTGTTACGGACCTAGCCCATACGGGCCTAGTATGGGTTAGGTCCGTAACATACATACATATGATTAGTAATATTGTGTTATGTGTGTAATAAAAAAATATATACTTACATATTAACATGTATATGAATGCTATAATAATTGTAATAAATACGGATAATATTATGTACTGCGGAATAAAATTTTAAAATATATACAAATATGTATAACTTTTATCTTAATCCACAAGTAACTTTCTTCCTATCTCTTAGAAAAATTAAATAAAATGAAAAGAAAAAAAATACTCGGCAAATGCCCTAGGCGGGTTGATTAGGCGTTTCGGACGGGCGACTAGGCACCCTAGGCGGCTGACTAATTCAACTAGGCGAGTCGGTGTCAAACCAATTAGTCAGGGCACCTAGACTAAAATCGAGGCGCCCGGCCACTCCCTAGCACAACTTTTAGAAGAGTATTGATCTAGTCAAGGCTTTCTGACCGGAACCCTGTCCAGCTGCAGCCATTTGAGATAGTTCCCAGTAGATTTTTTTGATGAAATTTTGTGAGCAATTTTTTTTTTAGAACATGCTCAAAAAATTCCATCGGGAAGGGACTCTAATGGCATTGTCCGCACGGAGGTTCCTATACATACGTATGTATATGATCGAGAGTACGAGACTATATATATACATATATATATATAGAGAGAGAGAGGAATGTTCAGGTCCGAACATT